GGGCCTCACCGGTGCCCAGTGCAGGAAGAAGAGAACTTCCCTGCTCCTACTGGCCACACTGGTGCTGATCCAGGCCAGGATGCCCTTGGCCTTCTTGGCCACCTGGACACTCTGCTGGCTCATGTTCAGCCAGCTGAACTCAGACTGTCAGTCTCCTCCTCCACCTCACCTTGAGTCAGGCAGACGGTTCTTTGCTGCCTTTTCAAGAGGTTCTACACTGACCATTCTTGGAGATTTAAATGTTTTCCCTTTGGGAAGTCCTCCAGCAACACGCATCTCCACCCCCAAGGAAGCCTCACCAGGCTGAGACTGGCCAAACTGGAAGTTTTCACATCACAAAAGGTGCAGTGTGGACACCCCATGTCCCAACTGCTGCTCCGACTGCCACAATCCCTCCTCCTGAGCTCCTGACCCCTTGACTCACCCTCACCAGGAGCAACCCCATCCCCAGGATGGGGACACGTGGCACCAGCACATGTGGCTGCACTGCCCTGTAACCGAGATGGTGGGATTACTCCTTTCTGCATCAGCCATGACAGCTGAGCTTCAAAGAGACCTCAGTCTTGCTTTGTGAGGAATAATGACATTGATCAGCCAGCACCGGGCAGATCCAAGCTTAACGAGGAATTAATCAATTAATTGCTTTGCCAATATGCCCGGGGTATATCCAGCCCTGGGGCTACATCTCAGTATTTCCCTGTCTCACCTGAACTGCACGTAGAGATCACAGGAGGCATTGGAAGATCATGGTCAACACATGTTCCTTGATCAACTATTTCCATGTGTTACGATGGAAGTCACAAAAAGCCTCAAGACACATTTTAAAGCTCAAAAATGCCACCTTGAGGCAAAAGTTCTCCATGTGTGAAGGTGCAGCCAGCGTTGGTTGCTCTTAAAGCAGGTAGGGTTGCATGATGGCAGCACGTCTTGGACCATGAGTGATACATGGATGGGCAGGAGCCCATCCATAATGCAGCAAGTGGGGTAGGACCTGCTCCTCCCCACTCCTGGAAGCTTCAAAGCTCTCCTCACGCATCATCTTCTGCGCAGCTACCTTGGGAAGGTGCTGATTTAGGCAATCAATCCCACCAAATTCCCCTTGTCCTAGTTTTTAGGTGGGTAACACACACAGCAACCGGCCAAGCGTGATGGGCTCAACTCCAGCACCCACCACGGACTATGTCAGATCCTACTTAGCAGAACTACTAATTCAGGAACCAAAAAACCCCCTAAAACCTTCATTTCCACTCAGACCTGCAGCTCACTTGGTGCTCTGGGCAGAGACAGCTCGTGGGTGCCCTCTCCTGCTGTCACTAAGGAGCAGTGGTGGCCGTGGCACAGGTGCCCATCTCCATCCCTGTCCTGGTACAGCCTGGCTGTGCTCCACCAGGTCTCCACATCTTCTCCCTGCTCAGATCACCGGTGTGTGGCAGGGTGAAAAACCCACCGTGAGCAGCTGGACATGCATCTCCACAGAAGGTAACTCAACATTCCAGCTCTTCCCAAGTGTTTTAAGCTCTCAGTGAGCACAGAAAACCTCTAGGAGAAGTGATGGAAGAAGCTGATGGAGAAGGTGATGGACCTTTAGGTACAAACCACCCCAGAAAGACCAGCAGTTGCCCTCTGTTTGGAAGCCAACCTCTCCTGGCATGCTGTGACCTAGGGATTGGCATGTGGTTGGGGTGCTCTGCATCTGAACATCTCCAGCACAAGACCCACTCTGGACCATCCACAGGACATCCTCACTGTTCTGTAAAACACCATCCAGCATTCCCAGAGACAGGGAAGGTCATCTCTCCCTAACTCTCTGTCACCACTCTTTGGTGTTCACCATCCCAAAGGTCTCAAGGTTGTGGCTGGTATTGACCGAGCCCCTCAATTCTTCTGGTTTTTTGAATGCAGAAGGTGCTGGGTGGCCCTTTGGTCCTCAGCTGAACACACACACACTGGAGCACAGGCTCCTGTTTGCTGCCACTTGCTGTAAATTGACCTTTTTCCCTAATCACGCTCAAATTCAGGCTCTCCAGAAGAGAAGCACAGCTGCCCATGACCCAAGCTCCAGCCAAGTGACTTCACAAGATCCACAACTGGGTTTTATCTCTGGTGAAACTGGTGAAATGAAGCACATTTTCCTTTTCCAGCTGGAAAGGGGATGGCAGCAAGGTCCAACCTCAACCACCAGGATCTCAGGGTGGCCACCACCCTACCTCTGCTTGACTGCTCCTGCGACTGCTCCTGCTCACTGGCACCTGATTAATAATGTGTTGGTCCAGATGAAGATCTCTCATTCATGATTCTGCTTCCACAGCATTTAGTGCTGAGTAAGAGCAACTGAGGCCTGATCCAGCCAGCTCTGCTGGGCTCTAAATGGCCACAGAGCATCAATCAGCTTCAGGCTCCTAATGAGGGCTCTCTGCTAACGACCTTCACAGCTGCCAGAAGGCTGAGGGGTTGAAGTTCTTCTTTTATATTGGAAAAGCCCTTTAAGGTCATCCAGTCCAATCATGAACCCAACACTGACAAGTCCCCTATGACTAACCCATGTCCCTCAGCACTGTGTCTACACGACTCTTCAATCCCTCCAGGGATGGGGACTCCACCACTGCCCTGGACAACCCCTTCCAATGCCTCAGAACCCTTGCAGCAAAGAAATTCTTCCTCACATCCCATCTCAACTGCCCTTGGGGCAACTTGAGGCCATTTCCTCTTGTCCTCTCACTTGGTCCTTGGTCCAGCCTGTCCAGATCCCTCTGCAAGGAGCTGATCCCTCAGTTCCTTCCCCAGGGGATGGCTGATGCCAGAGTAGCCCCTCACCTGGGCAGAGACAACAGGCAGTGGTCCCAGTTGCACTGACACCCACAGGTGGAGGAATAGCTTCAACATCTCTTCAAACCCATCTGAGACCTTGTTCTTCCTTCCCCAAATTGTGATGGGGCTCACGGGGTGCTGGACCTGCTGAGAAAGAGCAGCTCTCAGCCACACCATTGAGCTGGTCCCAGCCCTAAGCTGCTCTGTCCAGACCACCAGGAATTGGGATGGTGCTTTTGACAAGCCTCTGATTGCCCCATGTCACGATCTACACATCACAGAATCATCGAATGTTGTGAGTTGGAAGGGACCCACAAGGACCACAGAGTCCAACTCCTGTCCCTGCACAGGACAATCCCAACATTCAGATCATGTCCCTGAGGGCCTTGGCCAAATGCTGCTGGAATCTTGTCAGGCTTGGTGCCATGAGCACCTCCCTGGGGAGCCTGTTCCAGGGCTCCACCACCCTCTGCCTCAAGAACCTTCTCCTCATGGCCAACCTCACCCTCCCCTGCCACATCTTCCTGCCATTTCCTCTGCTCCTGGCATTCACTGGAGGCCAGAGAGAAGAGATCAGCGCCTGCCCCTCCTCTTCCCCTTGGGAGGAAGTTCTAGACCCCCAGGAGATCTCCTCTCAGTCTCCTCTTCTCCAGGCTGAACAAACCAAGTGACTTCAGCCTCTCCTCATACCCTTCCCCTCTAAACCCTTCCCCAGTTTGGTGGCCCAGTGTCAGGACACAGCAAAACAAAGGTTGCACTTCGCCTGGGGACCAAGGTGGGTGAATATGAATCTCTTGGAGGGAAGAAAACCAGAAGCTTCTGGCTCTGGTGTGGGAGGACTCAAATCTGTCCCCTGCCAAGCAGCAGCCCCGTATCATCCTCCCCCAACGTGTGCAGC